ATCACAGAGATTCGGTCAGTGAGGGGCTGCACAACAGCGTTGGTCGCATCAAGCCGTTGGGCGAGGATTCTCTCAGTATTCTGCAACATTCCGAGCAAGGCCGAAGAGTTAACACTTGCTTCAGCGCGAAGCGTAGCCGTAGTAAATTCCACGCGCGATTGAAGATCATTGATCTGGAGCTGGACGTCGCCGAGGTCATGCGCCTCGGTCGGAGGGGGTCGATGGCGCAGCTGATCGTGGATCCCCCCTCAAGATCCTGACCGCGGACACGCCCGTGTCGCGGACGACGACAAGCTGCTGCTCCATCCGCGCAAGGTAGTCGCGCAGGTGGTCGACCGTCGCGGACCGTTCACCTGAGTGCGACACTTCACGGTCAACCTGATACTGCAACTCACCTAAGATTTGGCGATATTCGGCGATCCTCGGATCGATGATCGCTGAGGCGCCGTCGAACTCTTAGCGAAGCGCCCCGGTCTGTGCACCGTTCGTCTGAACAGACTGCTGCGCTTCGCCATGGGATTGCGCCCGACGCAGTAGGGATTGTTCCCGGCGAAGTAGGGGCTGCTCCCGAGAGTAACGCGGAGGAGAAGCAAGCAAAGGCGGCGGAGGCGAAGGCTAAGGCAGCGGTCAAGGCCGCTGCACGGAGCACCAAGCGGACGAGGGGCGACCGCGGCGGCACGGCGACGCCGCCACCTGAGCCAGCTGGTGACGACGCTCCCCACCCGAAGCAGGCCAAGAAGGACGCGAAGAAGAAGCTCGACGACTTTCGCACGCTGATCAGCCTGTACGGACAGGAGCTCACGTCTGGCAAGATGATCTTGCGCAACATCGGCACGGTGGCATCGTGGGAGCCCTTGGCGGACGAGAGGATGAGCGGTGATCTCCGCAGGGCAGTCGAGGCGCTGGAGAACACGAGCACCACCAACGCGCTCGTGGCGCAGCTGGCGACGCAGAAGTTTGACGCAGTGAGGGCATACGTCGGGGAGGCAGACTTCGACAAACAGATCGACCAGATCACGTCGATCCTCAAGCCCAAGGTGGATAAGCTGAACGCAGAGGTCGACGCCTTGAACCAGATGCACGCTCTGGTCGTGAAGAAGGCACAGGGCGGCAGGTGGTCGGGGGCAGACAGCACGACGGCCTCTTGACGAGGCCTCGAGGCCTCTTGACGTTCGGCTGCAGTGCCGACCAGGCCTCTTGACGAGGCCCGCCGACCAGTGCCGCGCAGTTAAGGAGGGGAGAGTTGGGAGGAGAGGAGGAGGAGGAGGAGGGGGAGGAGAGGAGGAGGAGGAGGAGGGGGAGGAAGGAGGAGGAGGAGGAGGAGAGGAGGAGGAGGGGGGGGGGGGGGGGGCGAGGAGGAGGAGGAGGAGGAGAGAGAGGGAGGAGGAGAGGAGGGGGAGAGGGAGAAGGAGGAGGAGGGAGAGGGGGAGGGGGAGGGGGAGTCCCCATTGGGGGAAGGGGGAGGGGAAGTACGGGGGGGAGGGAAGGGAGGAGGTGGAGGTGAAGGGGACGGCAAACCAGAAGCTGGCGGCGGGCCCGCGATTCGGGGTACACTGAACAGCCTGCTGCGGTGAGACAGCAAGCGCTGTGTAGGGAAAAGCTCGATCGGATGCGAAAATCTCGGATCGGATGCGAAAATTCGGAACTCGAACCCGATCGGACCGAACAATTCGGGCCCGACCGCGATCGGAGGCGACGAAACCACCGATGAAATACCGGTGAGTTTCCGGTGAGTTTCCGATGAGTTTTGATGAGTTTCACTCAAACACTATAAATTCACAGGGATTGTAGCGATGAGTTTCCAATGAGTTTCCGATGAGTTTCCGATGAGTTTTAAATATTCAGAATTTTGTGTTGCGCCACTCCGATCGCGGTCGGGCGCCCCCCGTTTCGGTTCGGAGACGCCTCGGGTGGTCAGTTTCGGTTTCGGGTGCGCTTCGGGTGGATCTGGCACGGGCCCGAGGGGTCGCTGCGGCACCTCGGCGAGGCGCAGCTGTCCGAGGAGCGCCCGTTTCGGTTTCCAGGGCGTCTTGGGGGCGCCGGTACGGGCCCGACGGCTAGTAGTTGCAGCGCCAGGGGGCGGGGTGCAGGGGCCCGTAGGGTTCGGCTCGAGGGCGGGCTCCCAGTTCCCAGGATACACGCGCCAGGTGTCGTAGCACCATGGCTGGGGAATCGCGGGGCGAAGACTGGCAGGCCGAGCAATTGAGAGCAGCTGAACGCAAGCAAGCAGGCAATGACTTGCTTAATTATATTCTTGCCATGTATGCAGGGTCGAGGCCAATGACAGCAAAGGACGCTTGCATCATAAGCTGGTTCGCTAAGGAAGCTGGTTGCGAGGGCGGCGTGTGTGACCTCGCTCTGCACCCGAAAAAACACAGGCGGCACATATCAGAGAAAAATGGACTCAACGATTCCCCGAAAGCAAGATAGCGATTACTACTGGTTGGACATTCCAATATATCAGAAAGGTGTTGGTAGGACAACCAAGAGGATCCCCATGCTGCCATTGCATGAGTCGTTGCAACACGAGTGTGAAACTACTCGGTCCCTGGACCCTGGGCCCCTGACAAATGATGCGGAATTTCAGGAGTGGCAGCAAATATACAGGTGGCACCCTGGCGTTCGCGCGTGCAGGCCAGATGTCCCGCTTTTGTTATCGCTGTACGCCGATGGTATTCGTTTCACTAGGAGCGAGCGAACTGGAAAAGCAGACTCGCTGCTGGGTTTCTTTATGCATTTAGTACCGCAGTCGCGGAGACATTCGGTCGCATTCTTAAGGAAATCTGAATTCTGCAGGTGCGGGTGCCGAGGGTGGTGTAGCCATTACCCTGTCATGCTCGTGATAGCATGGTCGATGCGGGCGTTGATTGACGGCCGATACCCCTCGGCCATGCACGACGGCTCACCGTTTGTCACGGGTGATCACAGGGGTGATTTGGCGGGCATGCCTCTCAGGAAAGGCGTTGTGGTTTGGATGAAAGGCGACTTAATGGAGCAGGCTGTCACGTTCGGTTTGCGGGGTTTGGGCAGCATGTTTTCCCTGTGTTGTATGTGCAATTCGCTGCTCGAGAATTTACATGACTATGACCCTGTTGAGTTGGACAGTGACCACTGGGGCCAGAAGTCAGATTTGGATGATTACGAAGTTTCCTGTCAGCGGCTTGAACAGGTCGTTGTGCTTCACACCGAAGCCGATCGACTTAAGGCGACACCGACGCGCAAGCGCGGCCACGCAAGGTGGCCCCCGAGAGCGCGCGGTCGCGCCACGGAGCGCGTGTGGCGGAGAGGGTTGTGACGGGGTGGTGGGTGGTGGCGTTCTCGGGGGTTGCCCGCCGTGGTCGCGCAGGCGCGTCGGTTTCCGACAAGGTTTTTACTGAGGGTAGGCTTTACTGGGATCGGCGGAAATCTGGATCCCGTGGGAGGGCGCTCCTAAACGATGTTCCGTCACTAGGTCTCAAAGCTGGTGATCGATTGACGCCGTCCGAGCAATTGTGCGATATCGGCGATTTCTCCGCTGCCTCGTTGCCCCTGGTCGTGAGGTTTTGGCGCGCGACCTATCGCGGTCAGGCTTGCATGGACCCACTGCTGAATCGCAACCCAGTGTTTTCGCCCGCCCTGTATACGTCACCATCCCTCACGTTCGCGTTAGACGTGCTCCACATTCTGTACCTGGGAGTTCATGGCCGTTGTATATCCGCAGTGATCTGGGCAATTCTGGATGTGAATGTTTTCGGGATCCCAGGGCCTCATCAAGACGTCGTTGTCCCAGCCTCTCTGGAGCGGCTCTCGGGCATGCTGAACGATTGGTATGACGACACGGATGTGCCGCAAAACTACAGAGTGCATGAGCTATCAGTGAGTATGATCGGCACGAGGGACTTCCCAGGGCTAAAAACAATGGGGTCCGAAACAAACGCGATCCTCCCATGGGCTTTCCATTTGTGCGAGACGTTTTCTGCCAGCATGGGGAAAGGGTTTGCGCTCGCTGAGGCGTGCAGAAATTTGCTGGCGTTCATGCAACTCCTGAAGGCATCACCCACCATCGTCGATAGGGAGACGGGGTCCATGCTGCTGGACCTGTGCAAGCAGCACAACCATTACATGGCAGAAGCAGACGTCCCCCACTTGTTCAAAAACAATTTTTGTTGTACACCTCGTGCGCCGTTCCTTGAGGCACGGCAACCCGCTTCGGTGCGCCACGTTTCTGGATGAATCGTTGAATCTGCCAGCGGCAGTGGCTGCCTCGAGCGTGCATCGGTCAAATTGGGAGAAACAGCTCTTTGAACGCGTGTCGCTGCAGGGGAATATGGCGGTTGGCCAGCATCGTTTTTTCAACGGCGGCGGGGCGTAGCCAGCCCCTCGCCATCGCGCGGGGCATGCTCGGCGCCGATGTGGCATAGGCGGTGCGATTGGTTCTCGTGAAGACATGGGGAGGGAGGGCGGGAAACACGACCACGATTCACAAACCATCCCCCCCCATCTCCCTCCGTTCGGGGTGATCCGAGGTGCGCTTGCGCGCCGACACCGCCAGACCCCGACGAACGCGGGCGCGCGTGAGGAAGCCACAAGCGAGAGCGTGATTTCTCGTCGGAGTCCCGATCACCATAGGGAGGCGACGGCTTGCGGCGTCTAACGCGTGGTGGGCCGCCCCGCTGCGTTACAGCACAGCGGTTGGTCCTCGGACCGACGCGCTGTCCGCATGGTGCTCCTCCAGTCCCCCGTGCACTTTGCATTGCGTGGTCGCACAGCGTCAAGCAAGAACATCATTTTGAGACGGAGCCGCCCCCCACCCATGTAACCGTTGCAAACGCTTAAGAAGAATGCGCGCGGCACCAAAGCGAGAGCCCCATGTTCAAAACCAACCGCCCTCTCCCGATGAGTTTTCGATGAGTTTCCGATGAGTTTTGATGAGTTTCGGATCGGTGGCGCACATAATCGCGCTGCATGGGCACAGCGACGTCGATGTGTTTCGAGGCGGGCGCTCGGGCACTCCAGCCCAGGCGGGCTCGTGGACATGGCTTGCCCTGCCATTCGTCGAGCTTCCCAGGTGGCCTGGGCCAGCGTTGCCCGTGGTGACGTTCTGGCTCAAGCATGCGTGCATCGGCAGAGCGTTGGCCGAGTGCTGGCGCCGCGTCTGGGCCGCCCTTACCCATTGGCCATGAAGCGGCCAGCCGCTGCCATGACGAGGCCTGGCGCCGCGTCCACCGCGGTTGGCGTCCCATGTTCGTTCGAGGCGATGGCGGTGCAAGCTGGTCTCTCCGACAGCGCATCGCAGGGAGAGATCATCAGGGTGGCTGAGGCGCTGACACGGGAGTTCTGGTCGTGCCCTCGCTATATGGACGCAGCGGAGATGTTCAGCGGAAGCGGCAAGCTCGCGCGCTGGATGAGACGGGCTGGCCTCCAATGCCCAGAGTTCGACAAGTACGGAAGGGGCGAGTCGGAGGACGTCTGCACCCTCGCTGGCATGGCCTTTGCGTGTCGGATAGTGCTGAGCATCAAGCCGAAGGGGACGCTCGTGATTGCCCCTCCGTCCCGTGAGTGGGCAGGCGACATGCTGCGCATCAACGGGAGGGGCGACCTCGTCAATGGCAAGATATCGGCCGGAGGCATGGAGGCGAACGACCTGGCGCCCGCAGTCGCGCACTTCATCGCCATGTGCGTCGTGAGGGATGTGTTCTTCATGGTCGTGATGCCGTTCGACTGCCAGTCGTTCTTCGAGTACCCAGCGGTCAACAGCGCCCTGCGTCTGGGCCGCGCCGCCATCACCACGACCTACCAGGGCAATTGGCAGAGGATCTCTACGAACAAGAGGACGCTGGTGAGCTCGAACATCGCCGAGGACAAGATGGCCAGGCTTCTGTGCGAGTGCCCCCTCCAGACTCGACCCACATCGACGAGGTCAGTTCGTGCGGGAGGGACGTCGTCAAGTGGAGCGACGGCACCTACGAGCTCAACGAGTGGACGTTCTTCTACGACGGCTTCGCGAAGGAGCTCGTGGCGGTGGTCGCGGCAGCCGCCGAGTTGCCGCATCCAGTGTTCGAGGCAGTGTTGGTCAATGACTCGGAGTCGGACTAGTGCTTGCGCCGCCCGAGAGTGCACGCTGTGCGATCCGTCGCCGATGCGGCCGCGCGCTGCAGACAGCGTGCCATCCGTGCACGACCGAGTGCGTCTCACCGAACGCAAGCTCTCCTCCAACTCGAGATTCAATACGCGCTTGCGCGCTGACTCCGTCGACGGCCAATGGTCCGACACGTTGGAGCGGCGACGGGGCGATCGACAGCGTTCGAAACTCCTACCAGAGCGACGGAAATCGGCGCGGCACGGTCGAGATGGGAGAGTAGCATTCATATTGAGTAATTGTAGGAGAAGGAGGAGGATGATAACAGGAGAAGGTGGATGAGGAATGCGAGGGGGAGGGGGATGGGGGAAGGGGGAGGGGGACGGGGGAGGGGCGGGGGCGTTCGGGAGGGTGAGCGGGGGAGAGGGTGAGAAGAGACGCACGCCCCCCCCGCTCGGCCAGCTTGGGGCGGGCCGTGGATCCAGCTCTCGGTCCTCCCCATCTCCCCCCCGCCCTCCCCTCCTCTTCCTCCTCGACCTCGCCACTTTCCTCTTCCTCGCCTCATCCTCCTCATCTCCCTCATCCTCGTCCGCCTCCTCCTCCTCCTCCTCCTCCTCCTCCTCCTCCTCCTCCCTCTCCTCCTCCTCCTCCTCCTTCGCCCTCCATATCGTTCCCGTTGTCGGCCCCGCCATCTGTCTCGCCCCATCGCTGTTTCAAGCCCAGGCCCAATGAAGCGGGAACGCTCGGAGACCTCCCCCCCGACGCAGCCCCAGGTCGGAGAGTCCGCAGCCCCAGCCAGGGGCTAAGATTAGCTTTAGATGGGCGTGTGACGCGTGGCACCTGCTCTGGGTCGATCGCTTCGAGGTGACTCGCTCGCGGCCGCTGACCGAACAGGAAACTGATGACTAATAACGACGACCACGATCACGATCACGACGGCGACGACGACGACGTGACCCCATAGGAAACAACAACACTATATCGCCCCCGCCCTGCTCTACTGCGCCGCCCGTCGCACCCGCTACCAGGGACCACAGTGTACGGTGGCACGGCTCAGTTTGACATCATCGACGGGGTTCCAATCTTGCTCAGTCCCGAGGAGAGGGCCAGGTGGACTGCTATGCAAATGCACGATTATGCCGAACGTGGGCACATGGCCGAACATATCGAATGGCACCGTACCCGAGAAGGCATAGACGGTTTGGTTTGGGACGCAATCGATGATTTCCACGCTGAGCTGATTAGGAAGTGGGGGCCCGAATTAGAGTCAGAATTACTTGGCTTCGTTCGAGCTCTCGAACATGAGATGCCAGATTTCTCACCGAATCAGGGGCTGGGTGGAGGCGACGCCGCCTCGAGTCATAGCGCCCCGCCCTAGGAGCAAACGGCGCGTGGAACGGGTCGCGGGTGGAGGAAGACGCGTTTGGAATGCTGGGCAGGGGAGCTCCCGTTGCCACCGCATTCGGCCCCCGCACAAGTCCAAACACATCTCCCTCCACCTGCGACCCTTTCCTTGCGCCGCCCCCGCGTGCTCGGGTGCGACCACCGTCTCGAAAGCTGGCGCGGGGCTGAAAACAACTCTGATGCGCCCCTGGGTCCATGGACTCGGCGACGAGAATCAGATTCACGCGCGCTCGGGGCCGCCCAGGTCCAGACCTACTCACACTCGGGCTCACTCACACTCAGTTCAGACCACTCGAATGTATATCCACTCACATTGGGACTCGCCCATGTTCAGGCCCGCTCACACTCAGGCACGAGCATCGGAAACTCATCGAAACTCATCGGAAACTCATCGGAAACTCATCGGACGTCAACCGAAACCTCCACCATCGTCGCAATAGGGGCGTCGGCGGACACGCGTAGCGCAACCCATTTGAATCGGGGCGAAAGTTTTCCCAGTGGCCGTGAAGCCGAACACGCTTATAAGTATCGGGCGGGCCGAGGCGCCTCGGGCAAGCCGAGGCGAAAACGAGCGCTGCCAGGCGCCCACGAATACCGTATCGCTGGTGTAGGCGCTGGCGTCGGCGTTGGCGTTCGCGCTGAGGGTGCTGGTGTAGGCGCTGATGTAGGCGCTGGCGTATGCGCTGGAGGCGCTGGCGTTCACGCCGTCTACGGCCACTTAGCGGTACTGCTCGCCTGCGTCCTGCCACGACGCCGCGCTGTCCAGGGACTGCGTATTGGCCTCAGCGTCCTGGTCCTGCTGGCTGCTGCGCTGGTCCTTCTGAGCCTGCTTCGCCTGGAGCCCCGCCGCGTAGCCGATCTTGTAGATGTCGTCGACGTTCAAGCCATCGATCTCGCCCAACGTCACATTCGTCTTGAAGGCCTTCGCCGCCACCCAGTCCTTGATGCTGGCGTCGCTCGCTGGCGTCGAAATTTCGATACTGCTCTGCTGCTGGCACCGCCATTGGTTGTAGCCCTCGGCCTCCGTCGCTGGCTTGCCCACTGTGGGTGGCTCCGTCGCCTGCTGGTCCGCCGTCGCCTGCTGGCCATCAGTGGGCCCGCCCGTGCTGCTCTGCTCGTTCTGTTCAAAATTGCAAGAAAGTGGATACGTGACGTTCATCACGAGCGCCGACCTGTCGTTGATGACCCAGTCGTCGCTGAGCGGGTAGTTGTGGCACAGCTCGGGAACATGTGGCATAGCATCCCCTGGGTGGGGCATCTTCACCAACCAGGAGTCGATATTGCCGCCCTCTTCAATGAAGCTGAGCGAGCGCTTAGCCTCCTTCTTGGTCTCCTCGACCGTCGGGAACTCGCCAGCGTACGAGCCCGTCGTCATCGTTCTCACGTAGAGCGGGAACCAGCTGCCATCTTTGCCCCACTCGTGTGTGAAGATTGGCACCTTCATCATTTTCTGATCCTCCTGCAGAATCCAAGCCGCCATTGCGCTGGTGCTGCGCGCGGTGCTGCTGGTTGCGCTGGTGCTGCGCTGGTGGTTGCGCTGGTGCTGCGCGAGGTGCTGCTGGTTCTCGTCGCGCGCGAACCTGCTGCTGGTCGCGCGAAAGGCTTGGGCCAGAACGGATGCGGGAGGACGCTGGACGGGGGCTCCACTGGGCTCGGCACTAGCCTACACCGCATTGCATAGCATAGCATCGCGACGACTACGCACCGCCCCGAAACTCATCAAAACTCATCGGAAACTCATCGGAAACTCATCGCAGAATGCGCTCGCACTCGGACTCGCTCACACTCTGACCCGCTCACGTCCAGGCGCGCACTCGACGCCCTCAGGCCCGTTCAAACCCGCCAGCGTCAGCACGCAGACTCATTCACGTTCAGATCCACTCTAAACTCAGAACTGCGACCTACCCGATGAATACGACTCCCCTCCCTCCCCCACCCTATTTAATTAATGTTTACTTCCGAACTGTTTAGAGTGCTCTGCGCGCGCGCGAGATTAATATTTCGCGCGCGCGCAGCGGGCTCTAGCACCTTCACGACCTAGAATGGGAACCAGTGCGCGACGGCAGCGCCGATGAATGCCGATCACGCGCCACGCTATGCTATGCGACCTCACTATTTTAATGTTGCGCGGTGCCCGCAAGCGTGGGAGCACCCGCGGACTGCACTTCTCTGCAGAATTGAAGCCGTCGAGTTTCTGGCTGACGGATGGCATCCCATATTACAACACTCACTGAACTGAACGTTTGGAAAAATGATAATTTTCAAAATGTAGCTCCCGTCTTAGCGCCGCGGACATTCCTACCGCCTTAGCGCCGCGGACATTCGTAGTTACATGCATGGACATGATCAAGGTATATCTGTTAATCCAAGATATATGTGTTAATCCAAGACATGTCTGTGCATCCAATATATATATATATATATATATATGTTAATACAAGATACATGTTATAATATATGTTATTTTTTTGCATGTGTCATCATATCTGTTATTTTTTGGCAGTTGTAACATATATATTTAATATATGTTGGCGTTGTGTCCATCATTGACAACATGATCATATCTGCATTTTTTTGCAGTTGCCGCCGTATCTGTATTTTTGCTTGCAGTTGTAAGGCGCACCTTTAATTCTTATAGGTTTAGAACCTCAGGGGGAGTAGGGATTGCTCCCGGCGCAGTAGGGATTGCCCCCGAGAGTAACGAGACCAGTGGGGCTTGCGCCCGACGCCATAGGAATTGCTCCCGACGCAGTGGGATTGCTCCCGAGAGTAACGAGACCAGTGGGGCTTGCGCGCTTGCTCCCGGCGCAGTGGGATTGCTCCCGAGAGTAACGAGACCAGTGGGGCTTGCGCCCGACGCAGTAGGGATTGCTCCCAACGCAGTGGGATTGCTCCCGAGAGTAACGAGACCTGTGGGGCTTGCGCCCGACGCAGTAGGGATTGCTCCCGGCGCAGTTGGGATTGCCCCCGAGAGTAACGAGACCAGTGGTGCTTGCGCCCGACGGATTAAGGATTGCTCCCGACGCAATGGGATTGCTCCCGAGAGTAACGAGACCAGTGGGGCTTGCACCCGACGCAGTAGGGATTGCTCCAGGCGCAGTAGGGATTGCTCCAGAGAGTAACGAGACCAAAGGGGCTTGCGCCCGACGCAGTAGGGATTGCTCCCGACGCAGTGGGATTGCTCCCGAGAGTAACGAGACCAGTGGGGCTTGCGCCCGGCGCAGAAGGGAGTGCTCAAGGCACAGTAGGGATTGCTCCCGAGAGTAACGAGACCAGCGGGGCTTGCGCCCGACGCAGTAGGGATTGCTCCCGACGCAGTGGGATTGCTCCCGAGAGCAACGAGACCAGCGGGGCTTGCGCCCGACGCAGTAGAGATTGCTACAGGCGCAGTAGGGGCTGCTCCCGAGAGAAACAAGACCAGTGGGGCTTGCGCCCGACGCAGTAGGGGTTGCTCCCGGCGCAGTAGGGATTGCTCCCGAGAGTAACGAGACCAGTGGGGCTTGCGCCCGACGGATTAAGGATTGCTCCCGACGCAGTAGGGATTGCTCCCGAGAGTAACGAGACCAGTGGGGCTTGCGCCCGACGCAGTAGGGATTGCTCCCGGGAGTAACGAGACCAATGGGGCTTGCGCCCGACGCAGTAGGGATTGCTCCCGGCGCAGTAACTGGGATTGCTCCCGAGAGTAACGAGACCAGCGGGGCTTGCGCCCGACGCAGAACGAGACCAGTGGGGTTTGCGCCCGACGCAGTAGGGATTGCTCCCGGCGCAGTAGGGATTGCTCCCGAAAGTAACGAGACCAGTGGGGCTTGCGCCCGACGCAGTAGGGATTGCTCCCGGCGCAGTAGGGATTGCTCCCGAGAGTAACGAGACCAGTGGGGCTTGCGCCCGACGCAGTAGGGATTGCTCCCGACGCAGTGGGATTGCTCCCGAGAGTAACGAGACCAGTGGGGCTTGCGCCCGACGCAGAAGTGATTGCTCCCGACGCAGCGGGGTTGCTCCCGAGAGTAACGAGACCAGTGGGGCTTGCGCCCGACGCAGTAGGGATTGCTCCCGGCGCAGTAGGGATTGCTCCCGAGAGTAACGAGACCAGTGGGGCTTGCGCCCGACGCAGTAGGGATTGCTCCCGACGCAGTTGGATTGCCCCCGAGAGTGACGAGACCAACGGGGCTTGCGCCCGACGCAGTAGGGATTGCTCCCAACGCAAATGGATTGCTCCCGAGAGCACCGAGACCAGTGGGGCTTGCGCCCGACGCAGTAGGGATTGCTCCCGACGCAGTAGGGATTGCTCCCGAAACTAACGAGACCAGTGGGGCTTGCGCCCGACGCAGTAGGGATTGCTCCCGGCGCAGTGGGGATTGCTCCCGAGAGTAACGAGACCAGTGGGGCTTGCGCCCGGCGCAGTAGGGATTGCTCCCGGCGCAGCGGGATTGCTCCCGAGAGTAACGAGACCAGTGGGGCTTGCGCCCGGCGCAGTAGGGATTGCTCCCGGCGCAGTAGGGATTGCTCCCGAGAGTAACGAGACCAGTGTGGCTTGCGCCCGACGCAGTAGGGATTGCTCCCGACGCAGTGGGATTGCTCCCGAGAGTAACGAGACCAACGGGGCTTGCGCCCGACGCAGAAGGGATTGCTCCCGGCGCAGTAGGGATTGTTCCCGAGAGTAACGAGGCCAGTGGGCTTGCGCCCGACGCAGAAGGGATTGCTCCCGACGCAGTTGCTCCCGAGAATAACGAGACCAGTGGGGCTTGCGCCCGACGCAGTAGGGATTGCTCCCGGCGCAGTAGGGATTGCTCCCGCGAGTGACGACAACAGTGGGGCTTGCGTCCGACGCAGTAGGGATTGCTCCCGACGCAGTGGGATTGCTCCCGAAAGTAACGAGACCAGTGGGGCTTGCGCCCGACGCAGTAGGGATTGCTCCCGACGCAATAGGATTGCTCCCGAAAGTAACGAGACCAACGGGGCTTGCGCCCGACGCAGTAGGGATTGCTCCCGGCGCAGTGGGATTGCTCCCGAGAGTAACGAGACCAGTGGGGTTTGCGCCCGACGCTGTAGGGATTGCTCCCGGCGCAGTAGGGATTGCCCCCGAGATTAACGAGACCAGTGGGGCTTGCGCCCGACGCAGTAAGGATTGTTCCCGACGCACTGGGATTGCTCCCGAGAGTAACGAGACCAGTGGGGCTTGCGCACGACGCAGTAGGGATTGCTCCCGGCGCAGTAGGGATCGCTCCCGAGAGTAACGAGACCAGAAGGGCTCGCGCCCGACGCAGTAGGGATTGCTCCCGACGCAGTGGGATTGATCCCGAGAGTAACGAGACCAGTGGGGCTTGCGCCCGACGCAGTAGGGATTGCTCCCGGCGCAGTAGGGATTGTTCCCGAGATTAACGAGACCAGTGGGGCTTGACGCCGACGCAGTAGGGATTGCTCCCGACGCAGTGGGATTGCTCCCGAGAGTAACGAGACCAGTGGGGCTTGCGCCCGACGCAGTAGGGATTGCTCCCGACGCAGTAGGGATTGCTCCCGAGAGTAACGAGACCAGTGGGGCTTAAGCCCGACGCAGTAGGGATTGTTCCCGACGCACTGGGATTGCTCCCGAGAGTAACGAGACAAGTGGGGATTGCGCCCGACGCAGTAGGGATTGCTCCCGGCGCAGTGGGATTGCTCCCGACGAGTAACGAGACCAGTGGGGCTTACGCCCGACGCAGTAGGGATTGCTCCCGACGCAGTGGGATTGCTCCCCGAGAGTAACGAGACCAGTGGGGCTTGCGCCCGACGCAGTAGGGATTGCTCCCGGCGAAGTAAGGATTGCTCCCGAGAGTAACGAGACCAGTGGGGCTTACGCCCGACGCAGTAGGGATTGCTCCCGGCGCAGTAGGGATTGCTCCCGAGAGTAACGAGACCAGAAGGGCTCGCGCCCGACGCAGTAGGGATTGCTCCCGACGCAGTAGGGATTGCTCCCGAGAATAACGAGACCAGTGGGGCTTGCGCCCGACGCAGTAGGGATTGCTCCCGACGCAGTAGGGATTGTTCCCGAGATTAACGAGACCAGTGGGGCTTGACGCCGACGCAGTAGGGATTGCTCCCGACGCAGTGGGATTGCTCCCGAGAGTTTTTACGAGACCAGTGGGGCTTGCGCCCGATGTAGTAGGGATTGCTCTCGGCGCAGTAGGGATTGCTCCCGAAAGTAACGAGACCAGTGGGGCTTGCGCCCGACGCAGTAGGGATTGCTCCCGACGCAGTAGGGATTGCTCCCGAGCGTAACGAGACCAGTGGGGCTTGCGCCCGACGCAGTAGGGATTGCTCCCGACGCAGTAGGGATTGCTCCCGAGAGTAACGAGACCAACGGGGCTTGCGCCCGACGCAGTAGGGATTGCTCCCGGCGCAGTGGGATTGCCCCCGAGAGCAACGAGACCAGAAGGGCTCGCGCCCGACGCAGTAGGGATTGCTCCCGGCGCAGTAAGGATTGCTCCCGAGAGTGACGAGACCAGTGGGGCTTGCGCCCGACGCAGTAGGGATTGCTCCAAACGCAGCGGGATTGCTCCCGAGAGTAACGGGACCAGTGGGGCTTGCGCCCGACGCAGTAGGGATTGCTCCCGGCGCAGTAGGGATTGCTCCCGAGAGTGACGAGACCAGTGGGGCTTGCGCCCGACGCAGTAGGGATTGCTCCCGACGCAGTAGGGATTGCTCCCGAGAGTAACGAGACCAGTGGGGCTCGCGCCCGACGCAGTAAGGATTGCTCCCGGCGCAGTAGGGATTGTTCCCGAGAGTAACGAGGCCAGTGGGGCTTGCGCCCGACGCAGTAGGGATTGCTCCCGACGCAGTGGGATTGCTCCCGAGAGTAACGAGACCACTGGGGCTTGCGCCCGACGCAGCAGGGATTGCTCCCGGCGCAGTAGGGAGTGCTCCCGAGAGTAACGAGACCAGTGGGGCTTGCGCCCGACGCAGTAGGGATTGCTCCCGACGCAGTGGGATTGCTCCCGAGAGTAACGAGACCAGTGGGGCTTACGCCCGACGCAGTAGGGATTGCTCCCGGCGCAGTAGGGATTGCTCCCGAGAGTAACGACACCAGCTGGGCTTGCGCCCGATGCAGTAGGGATTGCTCCCGACGCAGTGGGATTGCTCCCGAGAGTAACGAGACCAGTGGGGCTTGCGCCCGACGCAGTAGGGATTGCGGCCGACGCAGTAGGGATTGCTCCGGAGAGTAACGAGACTGGTGGGGCTTGCGCCCGACGCAGTAGGGATTGCTCCCGACGAAGGGAAGGGGAGAGATTGGATCGAAGGTGGTCGTGTTGGTACTAACTCCTCCTACGCCTGTTCCTGATCCTCCTCCTGTCCCCCCTCATCGATGCGGCGAAATTCTGCCGCGAGACGCGCCTCGGGGCCGTCGGAGCTGGGGGGGGGTACCGGGGACACCCACACGGTCACCTCCAAGGCTCCGCAACTTCACTGAGCCCACGCGCCGTCGGAGAGCTCGCACGCGGAGCCGCGGCGGACCCCTTGCAGCGGAGCCGCCGCGGAGGATCCATCGCGACTGCGTGCGAGATCGCGACGCGAGCTTCGGTGAATGGCGAGCTTTACGAGCTGATAACCTGTGTATGGGGTTAGAATACAAAGGTACAGAAACCCTTGATCCGTAGGCAGAGGAAGGAGGGAAAGATAGGGATCTTTTTCCTCCTGTGCGACCAGCGTCCTGGTCTCTTGAGCCATGCAGTACCTGAGCCGATAAGGCAGGCAAAAGGGCGAGTGAGAAGTAGAGATGAGGGTATGAGACGGGTTCCTTTCACAGGTTCTGAATCCGACATGCTGCTCGAGCTCGTTCGCTCTGCGCTGGTCGAAGCACTTGCCCAGATTCGAACACCTGGCCCCCATGCGACGGTGCTCCCAGACATTGGTCGCGGATCCGCGTCCCCGCGAGGTCGCGCGGGGCGATGCCGAGTAGAGGAGGCACGCTCAGCTCCTCTGGGTAAATGTCCCCTGTCGGCGTCATCGCCCACATGATCACGGACCCTGGCTCGTCGGGCGCCTCGCCCATCACGCGGCTCATGACTGCTGCGTCGCAGTACTCGATCAGCTGGCGGTGGTGCCATAGTGGGCGATCTGTGTCGTAGCGGACGATCACCTCGCGACTCGGTCTCATAAATCATTGAGGCAAGTCCGGCATGGCATCTCCAGGCAAACGGGTTCAGCTCCGCACCCAGAGCCAGGCCCAGCACGAAGGTGAGGATGCCGAACGAGTACGGCGATCCCAGATAGCTACTCTGGACAGCACAGGTCAACGCCGATGTCGCAATGGGCGAAAACGAGGGCCACGCTAGCTTGGCCGCCTCCCAAAGGGCTAGGGAGGCGGTAGCAATCATTCACCTCAGGCGACGCCGCCCTCAAAAAGACTTGAGCGGATACGGTTGCGGCCAAGGGGATCAGAGAACAGCGTTCAGAGAACTGTAGCAGACCCTGTTAGGCATGTTGTTTTACACAGGGAAGATCGTGTACTGTAGCAGACATAGAATGCCATGTGTGTACTGTCGTTCGCACGTTGGCTCAAGCCACCCGAGTAGTATTATCCCGGCAAAGCAACCTAACAGCGATGTGTAGAAGCATATCTGAAAGCATTCCCCTTAAGATTCAGATGAAAATCCAGTTGTAGAATTCTGCTGTTCTCGCAGTCGTAGTCGCATTCGCGATGACAGTCGCAGCGGCAACGGCAGTCGCAGTCACAGCCTCAGCCTCAGCCTGCCTCAGCCTCAGCCTCAGCCTGCCTCAGCCTCAGCCTGCCTCAGCCTCAGCCTCAGCCTGCTTCAGCCTCAGCCTCAGTCTGCCTTCAGCCTCGGCCTCAGCCTCAGCCTGCCTCAGCCTCAGCCTGCATCAGCCTCAGCCTCAGCCTCAGCCTGCCTCAGCATCAGCCTGCCTCAGCCTCAGCCTCAGCCTGCCTCAGCCTCAGCCTCAGTCTGCTTCAGCCTCAGCCTCAGTCTGCCTTCAGCCTCGGCCTCAGCCTCAGCCTGCCTCAGCCTCAGCCTGCCTCGGCCGCAGCATCAGCCTGCCTCAGCATTCAAAATGTGGCCCAGGAATGGAGTTCTGGGAACTAGAAGAACACGAAGTGGCCTACAGTTGGCTCCGGGCATTCAAAATCATGCCCAGGAATGGAGTTCTGGGAACTTGAAGAGCACGAAGTGGCCTACAGTTGGCTCCGGGCATTCAAAATGTGGCCCGGGAATGGAGTTCTGGGGACTCGAAGACCACGATCTGGTGCTCTCCCCCCCCCTCCTCCTCCTCGTCCTCCTCCTCCTCCTCCTCCTCCTCCTCCTCCTCTTCCTCCCCTCCTCCTCCTCCTCCTCCTCCTCCTCCTCCTCCTCCTGGTAGTCCTCCCCCTCCCCTCCTCCTCC